GGCGCACGCAATTTTAAGGCTTGACATGTTTGGTGTCTATTTACCCGACGTGACCCTGACTTTTATGTTTTACTAAAAATATGGGTAAGAATAAATGTTTTATAACATAACGTAGGGAAACTTTTTTGTGTTTTTTTACATTTATGGTACTTTTTTAATTATATAGTAAAAAAAAAATACCCCCGTGGTGATTATATACCTCCAAAAGAAAGCTCTATCTGTCCCCAAACTTTTTTAACATAAATTGCAAGGCTATAGTCCGGTCAAGCCCTGATAATGACCAATTTAAACAAGATAAGAGCTTCAAATGACCACCACTGATGGTGCAGCACTCCAAATAACTTTTATTGCAAACAATGTCACATAGGTCAGAAATGCCTATTGACCTTGCTTTAGCACCTTCAACATGGAAACAATGTCAAGCAATGTCATGCATGAAAACACAAGAACTGATGTGCTGAAAAAATTGTAGCAGGTGAAATAGCAAATTTGAAATATTTGGCTGTAAGAGAAGACAGTTTGTTTGCCAGCGGCCTGGAGAATGATACAAGAATGAGTGTCTGTCTACAGGCAACAGTGAAGCATAGAGTAGGTTTCATGCAGGTTTTGGAAATTTCTGCACATGGAGTTGGGTACTTGGTCAGATGGCCTCCTCAGTGCTGAAATGTGCAGAAAAGTGCTCATTCATCATGCAATACCATGAAGTAAGGCGTCTGATCGGTCTCAAATCATTCTGCAGCAGAACAAAAACCGAGTTTAGGTTTAGGTTTAAAGAACTCTGGGTATATGAAATCGATATGCATTGCAAGGGTTAAGTGCTTGTTTTGTCTAGGGAGCTTAAATAACAAAGTTATACTCCCCTGAACCTCGGATCTGGCTAACTGCTCAGCAGTGCAGCGTAGCCCCACTGCAAGGATTAAGATTTGATCTGCCCAGAGTTGTTCTTTAAAGTATCATAAAAGTTATCGGTCACAAGCCTGCTACTTTGTCTAACTTAGACTGATATTTAGACCGTTCATTCTTTGAGGAAACATTTGTGTAAGAAGAGGTCAGATATGTGTGCATTTACTGTAACCGAGAGCTGTGGGGTGTCCCTAAAGGAAAAGAGGTGTAAGATATAAGGCCCTGATTAAACTCCAGTCTCCAAATACAGATGATTGTGAAAAGGGCCAAGGAAAGTGAGCAAGATGCAGGTGCGGTTTTAAAATTCCACTGAGAAAGTAGAGCTGCTGTCTGCATTGTATAATTATACAGTTTCTACTCTAAACGGGGGTCCCAGGGGCTACTTGGTATAGCAAAGTCAGGCGAGTTACAGATACGGCAAGAGTTTATTTCCGTGGTTTCCATATTTCTGAAAATAGTCGCTCTGATCTCCTAAACAACTTTGGATGCACGCCACATTTTTAGGATGTTAGCGTTTGCACACAACTGTTAGAGAAAAATAAATGTTCCTGTACCTTCTAGTGTCAACTAATTAGAGGTGCCTACAGACATTACCGATCTGGCCACCAGACCGTTTGGGATACCATAGACAGATCATCATGCATGTTCTTATTGGGTGAACACATTTGTTGCCTTGGAAAGAGGAGGGCACATTCTACAATCAAACATTAAACCGCCAGGTCAACTGAACATTTTCTAATGTCTGGCAAAACTATAATAAAAACCTACTGAACATTCTGTCTTCATATTCAAAGCTGGAGGAACTGTTAATATGAAAAAAAAGCTATCTTCTAAACCAGATAACTCTTTTTTTTGCCATTGTCCTGTCATAAACCCATACTCCAGTCACATTTAAAAAAATGTATACTGCCTCAGCCACTCATGAATAATGTATATCTTGTTTTTTTTCTAGGGACAGGGCTAGCACACAATAATACTCACCTTTCTCCACAGTCCCGGCATCTTTCTCAGTCCTGGTTGTGACCATCAATATGCCAAAGTTGTTCCTCATCTAGTCTCCAACCAGTCTTGTTCCCTCCCCACTTGCCACGATCATGCCATCTGCACTGAAATGTGTACAAGAGCCAACATCCACAATCAGGAAGGATATAATGGATCCCCACTCACATGCCAGCATTGGAGAGAGAAGAATGGCTGTCGCAGGCAGGGCCAGATTTACTCCCCCTGCCGCCCCAAGGCCAGGTTCCACAATACGCCCCCCCCGCGCCGCCAACCCCCCCTCCCCATCAATTGAGAATGGCAAATCCTCTGCGCTCTGCCGTCCCTAGGCCGGGCCTCGGTGGCCTTGTGGGAAATCCGGGCCTGGTCGCAGGACCATGAAGTAAGATAAATATTACTGTGCAATATCCATCCTCTAGAACAGGGGTAGGCAAACTCTGGTCTTCCTGCTGTAGTGAACTCCCATTGGTGCCACGCCAGAGGTCAGATGCCATAGGGGGTAGTCAGCCAAACCAGGTCAGGGAACACTCATAGCGGAATGAACAGAAACAATGAGTCAAGACCCAGGAGATTAGTCAGAGAGAGCCAGGGTCATAAACATAGAACAGGAACAACAGCAGAGCACTTGATAGATCCGAACACACGCAAGGGCGGAGACTAAATGGACCAGCCGATGATTAAATAGTGAACTGGTGTTGCATCATCACTCTGAGACCGGAATTTTTTAAGGAGTTTGTCAGCAGTTGCAGAATTATGTTTATGGGTTTGGTCATAATAGGGTGCCAAAGAGGAACGAACAGTGTCAGACATACTGCAGCAGAAGACAGTCTGCAGCTCAACTGGACAAGAAAGTGTAAGAAACCCTGACAGTATACAAGATAATAACTACAGTCAACTGAAAAACACAACAGTTCTATAAGAACCTCTGTTACTTTGTTAACGTTACCTTAAAAAATGTATAACATTTACAAATATATTGTATAACGTCCTATATACAAGGGATTGTTTTCTGTACTTTACTAATGTGTAAAGCTAGCCGCTCTTGCAAGGAATTTTGTTTTCACCATTATTCCATAGCAGTATGCAAAGCCCATAAAAATAAGTAATAATGTTTTGCATTGGATATCAGCATAATACAATTCTCCACTAAGTATTGCATAGATTTAATCCCTTATTCTGCAGTATGTAGATTAATCCTCTATTTCCTTGTTTGTTAAGATTACAAGATTAGAGGGATATGTTTTCACATTTCAATTTACTTTTACCCTTTTTATAATTGATGCAATTTCCCATATACAAACTAACAAAGTAAAGCTGTCACAGGGAATCCCAACCCAGAAGGACACCACCACTTCCACCCAGGAAGAGATCTCTACCTCCAATCAGGAAGACTCCTCTATCCAGGAGGGCACCTTGACCTCTTCTTCAGGAAGACACCTCCACCTCCATCCAGGAGGGCACCTCCACCTCAGATCAGGAAGACTCCTCCATCCATGAAGACTCTTTCACCTCCATCTAGAAAGGCACCTCCACCCAGGGTGACACCTCCACCTAGGAAGACACCTCCACCTAAGGTGGCACCTACACAGAGTCTATATTTAGCCTTATTCAAAATATGAGCAATTATGTATTTTCACATATTTCGACTAATACCAAATTTGGAACTATTGTCAGTAATATCACAAGGAACTCCAGGGAGGCACCTACCCAGAGGATCCTGCACATTTAAACCGCCACAGTGTTGGGACTTCCCTACTTCTCAACAAGGAATTGAAACACAAAGAAACTAGGGAGCAGCATCTCCCTATTTTGGGATCCTGCTTTTTAGGCATCACTGGAACCTGAAAGTTAAGTATCAATTCAGTTTGGAACATATCTTATTTTTAATAGAGCCCATGAGATTTTTTTTTATTTCAAGTATAAAGTGAAATCTTTTTTTTAGGATTTGTATAGAGTGTTGGGGGATTAGAACATTAGAAAACAGGAATCACCAGAGGAGTGCTGGTGATTCCTGTTTTCTACTGTTTTATGTGCACGGCGCCATCCGTGATTATCACTACGAGCAAAACCATTGTGATTTGGGCCGGAGACGCTGCAAGGAGTGTAGGGGGACCTACTGTTTTTCAATGGGGATTATTACATGTCATGTTTTTATTGCTCTGTCTAACAACATGTGTTAAATCGTTGCACAACTTCTAAAAAATATGTGGAAGCCACACTGCCTCATCAGGGCTCCTCTGTGTAGTGTGGACCTAACTCTAATTTATGAGAGCCTCCATCTTGGAGCATACATAGCAAAAGATAAACTGGGTGCAGGTACTCCTGGAGGCAGCACAATTCTCCTTACAGGTACAGAGGCACACCAGAAGCCCAGCACATCACAATGGCAGCTGAAGTGTAAAGCCTTTCCATAAGCAGTTGCCATGTACTTCTCTTGTTCGATTTGGTGGGGGGACACACTGGGGAATTCAGCTGCTGCTTCCTCCTGGATGCAGTAGATTGATGATGTGACCTTAGGCTAGGCTACGTCACTGGACTAAAGTTTAAAGACTGCTGAAAGGAAGAACACATATGACACCAATGACCTTCATCAATAAAGAGTTTATATTCTCAAGTGCTGTAACGCAGAGCATACAATCAGAATACATGTTGTCCTGGGTGAATTCTAGTTGGTTGCTGTATTACAGCGCTCGTTGTCCTTTGTATTAAAACAAAATTATCAACCCAGTAAGACATGCACATAAAAACACAACATTGACACTGCAAAAAGATTACAACATAATTAAACTTACCATGATATTGTGAAGTCCGCTAATGCTTCAGTTACAGTGTAAAGGGCAAATACAATCCAATACATCATCCACCGTACCTAGGAAACAAAGGTAACAAAAATGTAGATCACACATGTTTTTGCCTATGGAAAAAACTCTGCTAAAAAAATACATGCATGAATAAGCAATAAAAAAATACCTGGATGAGCCTGGGTGATCCTTACATTCCCCAAGCATTTAAAGTTAAATGCATCATCATAACCTTAGCCATTGGCTGTTTTTAACGCCCCCTTTCATGTGCAGACTAAGCATATTAAACAGTTAAGGAAATGCAAATTCTGACTTTTTGTTAAAAGTCAGTAGCTAAGTCCTTTTGTTCTTCTGTAACAACTCCCCCTGGGCACTGATTTAGGTCTACCAAATTGCAGAAATCAGTGAATTTGGGAATATCTAAATGATCATTTAATAGATCATTTCTGTTAGATCGCATGTTCAATTGATACCATATACTGTATGTTGCCGGATTTGTTTAAATTGATGACGAATCACTTATATATAGATTGATGACAAATTGATGATAAATTGTATAAGACCACCATAAAAGGGATATTAAAGTCAAAAGTATTTTAAGCTATTTCAAATGCTGATGAAATCACTTACAATAAACACTGCTCCTTGATTATTAAAAGTTATAGTTTCCTGCAGAATCAGCTGGCCCCCTGCACACTGGTACTAATATCCTGTTTTAGAGTGACTCCAAGTGTTTGCCCAGTAAAGCATTGCTTTACATTTTTGCCCAATGTATATTTGATGTGGATTCATTAGTGAGAAAACATTTGAGAGTTTAATACTACTTTAAGGATGAGTGTTTGTCCACTAATTGTCCACAACGCTTAGAGATTTACAAGCTGGATAGTTCATATTTGCCAGCGAATTCTGTAAACATTAGAGAAGGAAAGTGTTGCTTTTAGTGGAACTTTTCAGATTTGTTTCCATCAAGGTGTTTCTATGCTTTTTGCAGTTTTGCAATGTTGGCAAAATGCACGGGCAAACAAGTCTACAGTTTTCTACAGGACAAGTCCCATCTTCCAGTATGTTGTAAATGTCCTGCATACTGCATTTTATGTCTATTGCCCTGTGTGTTCTTGTTCAAACCGAATGAATAACATCCTTCAAAACAGCAGAACAGCACATACTAAATGCAAGATTATGTCGTGAACATGTTTTTACTGCTTAGTATTATACAGGATTTATATAGCACCAACAGTTTGCACAATAAGTCCTGGTCATATAGTCAAATAGTCACGGTTGCAGCACTTAATAAATCTTTTATTTTCAAAATAGTTCCATCAAAAAGGTTTATCGCAGACAATCCCCAGTAACCCACAGAAATGTTAACGCATACAACAGTTTTAAGCTGGTTACAGTTGTTCCTTGTGTTTGTCAAACCTGAGGAAGGTTACATGATTTGTTACACCATGTAGCCATTGTAAGCACTGGGCTAGCTTGTCCCAGCCTTTGTCATTTTGCTGAAGGGCTTGTGCATACCAAATGCAGTGCATTCCAGAGCGGTAGCTGCTGGAACGCACTGCAATCCCTCACAAAACGTCCCCCTGCGTTCTGGGGCGGGAGGGGGCGTGGCGGTGTATTAAATTCAATGGCACCACTTCCCCGCCCCCCCACCCGCAGTGCGATCAGACGTGTGGCAAAACTTTGCCTGCGTTCCGTTCCACTGCAAACACAATGCTGCTTACTCTATTTTTTGCATTTGCAGTGGAACAGTTTAGCACATACATGAAAATATACTTTGTTAGTACCTGGTACTGTTCAAGGCAGAGCAGAGTAAAAAAATAGTTTCAATTAGACTAAAGCTACCAGTGGCATTTTTCTAATGAATAGTGGGGTCTAAGCAATGTTTATTTTCGAGGAAAATGGAAGGAGCAGGATGGAACATTTTCTAATTTCTCATCCGAGCAATCAAAATTCTAACCATGAATGTGATTTTCCTTAAGGAAAAATTGAACAATGTGCATGTGCTAGGTACAAAAGAAACCTGTTTAATATGTCTGGGAGTAGCAGATCTGGAGAAATTATAAGAGATTTTGAATGAAATTAGTTGGTTCAATGATGGCAAGATCGAATGTGATGATAATTGATTTCAAACGAACATTTGAAGGAAATTCTAACAGTGTATGGCCAGCTTAAAGCCCAACTGTATGATAAATTGTATGCATGATGTGGACACGTCCTATTGGATATCAATTGGCGAGGATCAGCACAGAGGAGTGAAGGGGAACAGTGGTCATG